GGGGGCAGGTCGTGGCCCTGGAAACGGTTCTGGTTTAACGCGTTGAATAATATAGGCAAGAGGTGGTTTCGAAGATCCCGAGTACGTCAATAGTCATTTTTTTAAAAAAAATTACGGAACCATTGTGTTTCGATCAGCTGAGTGCCAGGTGCTGGCAGCTCAGGCCTTTTCAAGCTTGGAAGAGGATTTCAAACGTTTTGTATCAATATCCTGGGTAAAACAGCTGCTGTAATAAAAGCAGATGGTTTGAATTCGTCTTTTTTTGGATTCAGATTTTTTTCTGAGATGATTTTGTGTAGAAATACATTACCTTCAGAGCCAAGTAAACATTTCGGTAGAATAGATCTCAAGGGTTATTAAACATTAAGCCTGATTGTAACGAGTCTGTATAAGAATGTAATGAGTAGCTTAAGCATTTATTTCATTTTGTATATCACCTGGCCAGTTTTATTTTAAACTTTCCGGATTTTACTTTAAAATGTGAAAATTCCAGCCCCCTATAAGATTCTGCTTTTAAAAGCTGCATTTTTCTACTTAAGTCAGGTTTACACTTTTGTCATTTAAGAAAATCTCTCATTTGAAACTTCAGATCATAAACATTAAAAGAAGAAATTCCTAAGAATTTAGACTGAGAATGGTTTTAGACTTAATGTAATTCTTAAACATTTATATGTTTTACATCATCACCCCTAAAGTCAAGGTGAGTGAATTTAAAATTGTAATAGATTAAAATGCTGGATTTAATTGATGGATGTAAAAGCAAATAAGAAAAATAAAGTTCCCAATACAAAAATGTTAAATGATTTGAGGAAATGTTTCCAAAGAGGAAAAAATAATCACTAAACATGTGAAAAGGTAACCTCTTTAGAAAGCAGTGAAATGAAAACCAAAGCACACGATCTTTTTTTTCCTTCTTCTATATACCAGATAGACAAAAAACTGTATAAACTTCAAGCCTTGGTGATCATGTGAAACAACTTTTAGAACTATTGCTTTGGAAAACAAGTTTGACATTATCTCCTAAAATGGAAGATTTGCTTCCTCAGAGGCCCACGTTCTAGACCTGAGCTTCTCTCAAACTTGAAAGTGCCTGGGAATCACTCAGGGATCTTGTTAAATGCAGATTCTGGTTCAGTAGTTTGGGGGTGGGACCAGAATTCCCAGATTTTTAACAAGCTCCCAAGTGATTCTCATGTGCCTGCCCTTCTGTACTGGGAGGTGTATAAAAGTAATAGTGTTTGTAATTGGACATATGTGATAAAACCCTATAAGCGGAAGGATAGATACCCTGTGATATAGTCATAGAATTAACTAGAGCTATGTATAGTCACAGATTAATCTCAGAAACAACATTAAGGGAATTAATCAGTATTCTGATTCCAGAAGACTGTCTAAATTGATGGATTGAATTTAGAGAATGTTCAAACAATAGCAAACTATATTGTTTAGGGATATGTAGTTATGCTGTACAACTATAAGGAAAAGCAAGGGAATGATAAACATTTAGGGTAACAGCTACCTGTGAGATAGGTGGGAAGGGGGAGGGAATGGCATTAAGTAGGGAGGGGTAAAATTATGGCCTCAAATATATTAGTAATTTGCTGTGTCTTATGCTGCATGATATGTACATGGGAGTTCATTTTATTGGTATTCTGTCTACCTCACACACGTTAAAAATAATCTTTTGTCTGTCATTTAATATAAGCTTTTAAATTAAAAAAGTATAAGTCTGGGTTCTCCCAATTCTTAGAAGTATAATTATTGATACCTCATGTGTCCCCAAGTTTCATTATCTATAGAGTGAGGCGATTGAACTAAAAGTTTTTGCACATCTAAAATACTGTAATTTTACCCATTTTTAGGGATTATAACTGAATTTAGGTCTATTGGCCTTATTAGAAAAATATTTTTTCCTCTGGCTCAGATTTTTTTTTTTCTTAAAACACACTATTTTTAAAAAGAAATGCTAAAATTTTACTATATTATGAGACGTAAAAGGAAGAGGGAATTTTAGATAGGGAAGTTGAAAGCATAAAGAAATTTTTTTTAAACCTGAAACCTAACAGTCCACTTCCTGGTTTTTAAAAATGATAGCCATCTCATGCAGAAGCAAAATGCCATGACAGGAGTATATTTGATAGAGTTTCCGCTGACCCTGGACAGATTTACAAGTGACTCATAATTTTCTATTAATCTTTACAATTTCCTTCTAGATGCCATCCATGCAATATTAGTATACAGTCAAAGTGTAGAAGAACTTCTGAGGCGTAGAAAAGTCCACCGAAGTATTATATTTAAGTACTTGGCGTCACAAGGAGTTGTTATACCTCCAGCTACTGAAAAACACAATCTTATCCAGCATGCAAAGGATTACTGGAAAAAGCAGTTACATCTGAAATTGAAGGAAACACCAGAGCCAGTTAAGACCTCTGAGGACATTAGACCCTTTCAACAGGTAAAATTGATCTTACAGTTAAAACGTGAACCATAATTCTGTTTCAGACTCTTTAGATAATCCTAGATCTGGGGTAACATGTTAATATTTTGGTTTTTATAATTTTAGCTTTACTTCATATCTTTTGTATCATAAAGGAAGACCAGTAAAGTATCCAAGAAACAATATTTTGACATTTAGTAATGTGTTTAAAATATTCTGATTTGTGAGGGGGAAAAGTTTTTATCAAAGGAGGACTATTGGATTTTTAAAGAGTGTGGATAGACTGCAGGATCAATTTAATTTTAATTTAGCCTCTAGTTCTCTGTAAATTCTTCTGTGCTTTAAAAGAATGCTGTTGTAAGCCCTTTCTCATTTTGAAAATGATCTCTGGTATTAAATTGCAGAAATTCCATGAAAGAAACTTAAATACTTTTTACATTTGATTTTTTTTTTTTAGTCTAGAAAGAATTTTGTTTTAATTTCCACTGGCTGATGTTGGCTGTTCCTAGTCCTTTATATCTCCACTATACATTTTAGCTATTGTGTGAATATTTAAATGTGTATTGAATGAACCTCTAGGTCATTTGCTGGTTTTTAAACTACATACATGAACTTTGAATTAATGAGGTTTTACAGTGAGAGAGATTTACCTTCACATTAGGAAAGGATCTTATAAGGGCTTTTTTAATGTACTGAAAAGAACCTTGACTTTGAAATCATAACTGTTGTGATTTCAAATTAGAGTCTGCCATATACTTGGTATGAACTTGGACAAATAACCTGACCTTTCTGAGCCCTGCTCTCTTTATCTACAAAATAGACATAAGGATAATATGTGTGTCATAAGACTTGTGAAGATAAAAGGAAATAACACGTAAGTGCCAAGCACAGGGCATGATATATTCAATCACATGTGCTCAGTAAATACAGATTTCATAACATGTAAATGAGGCACTGTGCTCTTGAATGAGTAGATGAATAAAAACCTAGCTTATCAGACATATTTTTGCAATAACATTTTCTTGGGGAGGGGGAAGAGAACTAATAGTGTAAAATTCATCCCAACCATAGAAAATAGCCTATTTCAATATTAGAAGAACCTGTTTAAAGACAGTGATACTACCAGTTTCATTGTGGTATGATTTATATGCCACAGTTATTCATTTAAAGCATACATTTTAAAAGTTTTCACTTTTATTTCCTAACTGTGAAACCATTACCACAATCAAAAGAAAATGCTTATATAAATCATTACTATTGACTGTTCTTGATGGCATTTTAAAAGGCTTTGTTAAACCTTAATTTTTTAGCTGGGTTTTTAGATGTTTATCTGGGAAATTCTAAAATGATTTTTCCCCTTTTTGCAGGAAGAATTTACTATACAGTGAGTTTACATGTAATTCACTTCCTCTGTGCTGTAATTAGTACTACATTAAAACCTAGCCCAGAAATAGGAAAATAGCTACAAGAATTAACCTTGGTTTTATTTTGTATTTATCTTAGGAGGGGAAAGAAGATAAAACTGAAAAAGTTGATTTTCATCGATTAGGAGAAGAATTCTGTCACTGGTTCTTTGAACTTCTTAATTCTCAGAATCCGTTTCTTGGACTACCTCAACATGAATGGGGGCCACAGCACTTCTGGCATGATGTCAAGCTTAGGTTTCATTACAGAACATCTGAACAGAATGTGATAGACTACCAAGGAGCAGAAATTGTGAGTCTTCGTCTACTGTCACTCATGAAGGAAGAACATCTTTTTCTCAGTCCCAACCTTGATTCCCATGGATTGAAATGTGCTGCTTCTCCCCATGGTCTGGTTATGGTTGGGGTTGCTGGGACTGTCCACCGAGGGAACTCTTGTTTGGGCATTTTTGAACAAATTTTTGGACTCATCCGCTGCCCTTTTGTGGAGAATACTTGGAAAATCAAATTTATCAACCTGAGAATTATTGGAGAGGCTTCCCTTGCTCCTGGAACATCAATGAAACCAGCTATTAAATTTGAACCAAGTGATCTAGAGGCCTTTTATAACATATCCGCTGTATGTGGTACCAACTAAGTACAAAATAATGTAAAGCAGGTGGATAGTGGAACTGGAGACCAAGGTTTGTGCAGTGGAAATGAGGTGTTGAACAAAAGAACACTGAGTTTCAGTAATCCTCTAAAGCGCTGAGCACTATATGTCAGTCTATATGGAAACTCTTCCAGATACTACATTGACATATTTTAGTTGAAATATCTCTTTTGACTACAGCTAACATATGTGAATACTTGCCTCTTTCTACCTGGGCTGCAGCAAATGTTCTGAGGGCTTAATGCAGTTCATCAAATAAATCCCACTTTAGATGATATAAACGTTGTGCCTTAGAAACCAGGTAATATTTTCATTTTACTGAGTAAATATTCTGCTAATGTGTGTATTCTTCATGTGGAAAGGAATGATGGTGTTAAGGCTTCCCCTTGTCAAGTTTCTTTTAACAATCTGGAAAATTTTACAAACATCTCAGTATTTTAAAAATATGCACTTTAAAAAAAATGCATATTTTAGAGATGTTTAATGTAAAATCAGAGTTCTTATTTTAGAAAACTTCAGTGACATTCATATGCAAAAAGTTTAATAATTTAGCAGGTGTAAAAAAGTTAACTTTGCTTTCTTAAAATTTGAGGAACATATTTCAAAGTTACCTACTGTAGTCCAAGTTAAATATCATACCCTGCAACATTTTCTGAACTATTTTGGGCATTGATAAGTGCCCAAAACAGACTTTATTATCTAATAAGGCTTTAACCAGGTTTACGGAGCATTTATTGTAACACCATATAAAGGAAACATACTGTTGACATTTTTGAAAAGATGTGCCCAGTTTCTAACTTTTAGTTAGATTACTGTTTTTCCTCTTGCTTGATCTTGATTGAGGTGACCAAAAAAAAAAATTATAATGTAAGCATATACTTCCTCATAAATTAAAATGATTAGGATTTTTCCACCTGTACTTTGTTTTACTAGATTTGAATTATGAGGTTAAGTTGCCAAATTAATTACATAGTTGCTTTAAAATTTAAATTTTTCATCATCCAGCAGCTATTTGCTGATTCTGGATTTAGTTTGTAATTATGATTTCCAAAATGCCATTTGGAAAAAATTTCAACTGGGAAGTGTTGTGATGATGTATTATATGTGTTAATTTTTTACCTTTAACTCTGCTCATGATCATCTAGGGTGACGAAAGAATTTTGGAAGCAGGAGGAAAAACTTTTTTGTTTTTTTAATGCCATGCCTCTTTTTTTTTCCCTTTAAAATATTACAGATGTCCCTTTTTCTCCCCAAGCCATGCCTCTTATGAGGAGTACAAATTGATGTCCTAAAATAAAAACTTAATAAAGGAGGGAAATCTCTTTTGTCTGCTTTTAGAATTAGTGCATTGTTTAGATTTAAAGCCAATTTTTTTTCCTCTAAGTTGGAAGTATCATTATAGCATGTAATTGATAAATATCCTAAGTAAAGGATAAAAACTATTCCATCGTTTTCTTTGTGCTGTTAATGTCAAGTACAGCAGAAATATAACTGCAGATGCTTAGGATGAGCAGAACCTGCCTCTAGCTATCTTTAATACTAAAGTTTTGAATTTGTGTAATACTCAAGGAAAGCTGTAATCTGCATGCTTGTTTTAATCACCCTTAAAAATTCAGAATCTTCCTAATACACTAAATCTCTTGAGGATTGGGCTCTATTTCCTGTGAATCCCCACAGCTGTGCACAACCTTAGGCCTTAATGTTTAACTGAATGGGTTGAAAGAGGGAGCAAAGAAGCTTACATTCTGTATAAAAGACTTTTCTTTGTCTAAATTTTTCTTTGGTGATTCTTATCAGCTTTTTGATCTTATTGTCTGTCTGAGTTTTATATGTGGATACACAGAAACTCTTAGGTCCCAACCTCACTCAGCTATTTTAACTTTCATTTAAAATTTGCTGAATTTCAGAAGCCCAAGGTCAGAGTGGGATAGAGTAGGAGGGCCCTAAGACTGCCTAGAAACTGTCATAGGGGAAGTGGATATTTCCCAGTTTGGAAGAAGAAGACCTGGAGGAATGGAAATTTGTTCACGAAGCTTAAAATTTGGTCAGGCTTCTAAGAAGATCCAGAAGCCCAGTGCAGATTGAACATTCCTAGCTCTGTTTTCGTTTGCAAGTGGTAAGACCCCATCTCAGCCTTATGTCTCTTGCTTTATTACATTCAGCTGGTATTTGGAAACCAGTCTTTGGAGGCAAGTGGTAAAGAGTAAAGCATTCTACACCTAATTTATAGTGGTTGGGTGATCAAACCACCGGAGCCTCTGGGCTTTATGGCTGATTTGCTGTAGCCTAATAACAGGGTTTAACATCAAGCATCCTTTTTTTGTGAAAATTAAAAAAAATCTTTAATAGTTATATCAGGATATTTTATTAGTGTCTAGAATGCCCCTTTCCAAAAACATATTTCATGTGTCTCATTAACAATATCAGATAGAAAAAAAGCCATTTCTAATTTATTAAATCAACTTGCAATTAGCAAACACAAGCCAGGAAAATGTTCCTGGGTTTTCAGAAAAGTAACATTTTTATGCTCAAGGAAGGCTAGTTACTTAGTCCCAGTAAGAAATTGTGATAGCACGAGAAAAGGATTTAAAGAACAGTGGTTTAGTTTTTAAAACAGGTAATCAGAAACGTTGTGTTTTAACAGAATGACTCTTATGGCTAAGTAGATCGTAAAAATGAATGAAAACCGTACCTCAACGTTTTTCTTAGTATCTATTTTCACAAATTTAGATGCCCTTCACTGGTTCTTAATTTGGGCTGTGGGTGGTGGTCATGGACATTTTGAAAAATGAGAGCTATGTGCCCTCTCCCCAGAAAAAGTATGTCATATAATATTACAATTGTTGCATAATATTTCACTGAGTTCTTGGATTTTCTTAAAGCACATCTGTGACTCCTATAGGAATTCTTATACTCCATGTTAAAATCCTGCCATAATAGCTGTATTTTCCCCCAGACTACTCTACTATATTAAAAATTAAAATTGTTTATTGTTTTTAGAAAATTTGTGCCCTTGCCAGTCTCACAGCTAGAGTACTAAATCTTATAAATGATCTCTAGGAAATCTGTTAATGATAGTTGTTAATGTGTAAATTTTGTTTTTCAAAAGATGTCAGATTTAAGACAAAACCTACTGAAATACTGTCAAGTAAAAAAAAAAAACCCGTAAAAATCAGAATTCATTTTATTTCAGCAAGATAAATTTAATGTACAATGAACGTGCTTTGGAGAAAGTGATAAAAATGTGAAAAGGAAAAATATTTTTGAAAATATATTTTCAAGACCTTTACAAAAACTATCCTAAGAAAATGTTTCTTTAATAATGATTGTATATTGCTAATTCTGATGAAGGATTTAAAAACTATGATCATTTCCTCGGAAGGGCCTATAGATGTGACCTACTTTGCACCACTTCCTCTCCCCTCAACCCTATTTATAACCTTTGTATATAGCTAGTTTGCAGATAGCACAGCTGCAGTGCTGGAACAGGATTTTCTGGATCTGGGCTCTGAGTTTATTTGGCATATACTTATTGATCATCTACAGTTTGTAAGTTACTGAATCAGGTGCAAGACAAAATAATCCATTAGTAAGTTACTTCCCTAAATTATGTTTAATTCAAACTACAGTCCCTGGGTTGAGATATCTTAAGGTGAGAACTACTGTAGGCCCTTTGCAGAAGAACTTGGTATTAACCTTTTATGTGGTCAGAACAACAGAAAACATTTAATTGAAATTTTAAATAGCTGTCTGGTTCTAGCTAAGTCATACAGATTTTATCAATACAGAGTACAGGATGTTTTACAGACCACTTTTATTTAGAGCTGGAAGGAAAATATTTTAGAATTGTATCAGAGTGCACTGAATCCTGTTAGCTTTATTTTTCTAGTTTGAACCTTTCCACTAACTAGTTTTTCAGTAAAAAGTGTGAAAATTGAATGTGATATTTGCTGTGAATTATAATATACCTCAAAATATTAAACCAGAAACTCTAGAATTCCTTGTGTTAGAAACACTGGCCTAGAATTTGGTGCCTCGTAATTTCTGTTCCCAGTACTGCCAAATTTAATTTCCCTTTTTAGTGAGTCATTTAGTGAGGATTCTTTGGTTAGCAGCTTTCATTTTCAGTTTTTAGACAACCTCAATCTCAAGTGTGAAATTACATTTGAATTAATGAATTAAGGATTGAAGGAATCCCCTGCTGCCCACTGCCAACCGTGTTACTTGTCCAATTTGGTGTTTTCTGAACAAAAAATTTCTACTTAAGAAAGCCATTTTCTTGGAACCATTTAGTTGCATAAGTTTGCATCAGTCTTTTTCATCTCCCATCTTTTACTATACTAATGGTATCAACACTTAATTGTCTCAGACTGTTACATGTAAGTTCCTTTTACCTCCCTACATAGATGGTAAATTCCTAGAATTGTTGATTCTTATTTCAGTCTTCCTTTCCCCTGTGCCTTGCACAGGATATATAAGCTAAATTGTGGGTTCTTAATATGCTGGCTACTTTTCTGTGCCTGTTGTGTTTAACTCATTTAATCCTGTGGACAGCTAAATGAGGTAGATACTATTATACTTCTTTTACCAAAAAACAAGGTTGAGTAATTTCTTAGCTTTTGGAGCTAATGGTAGAGCCTAGATTTCAACCCAGGTGTTAGAGCCTTGTGGTAACTACTACACTATATTGCCTCTTATATGTAGTAAGTTTTTTTTTTAATTTATCTTTATGGTTGGAAATATTACAGATGTCTCCTTTTTTCCCCATTGACCCCTTCCACCCCACAACCACTCCCCATCCCAGGCCTTCACCACAGTATTGTCTGTGTCCATGGGCTATGCATATATGCGAGTAAATTCTTTGATTAACTTCTCCCCACCCCACCCACGCCCACCTTCCCTTTGAGACTGGTCAGTCTGTTCTATGCTTCTGTGTCACTGAATCTGTTTTGTTCATCAGTTTATTATGTTCTTTAGATTCCCCATAAAAGGGAGATCATGTGGTATTTGTCTTTCTCTGCCTGGCTTATTGATGAATCCTTTTTTGACTGGTTTTCTTCAGTGTTAAGGTTGTCATTTGCTGGCACTTATTGCTAAAGCAAAGATGCCTTTACTTTGTATCGTGTATCTAAATACAGAGTAGGAGTGTCAATGTAGGAGTATTGTCTTTTACTTGTACCTCTTAAGTTGCTTGTTTAGCTATTTAAAACCGCTGGGACAGTGTTATGTATGGAAAAGAATAAAAGTAATTGGGTAATGTAACAGTATACATTACATTTCTTGAATTGATTGTCGCACTACAATCTCTAGTCCTCTTGCCTTCCTATTGATACCGTTGTGCTTTCAGCCTCAGAATTAGTCTTTGTTTCACATGTTCAACTTTTTGTTATGTCTGGATGTAGCATATCTACAGTATTGTTTTCTATTTCAGCTACTGCTATAATTAGACTCTCTCTACATAAACCTAGACTTATTTTATTTTTGGCTTTAATATATCTTACATGTTTGTGACATTAAAATCCCCTTAAGTACAGCTTTCATTGTAATCTTTCACGCTTAGAACTTTCAGTGGTGTTGCATTACCTCCAGAATAAATACCAGATTTCATAAACTGGTTTTCTTCACCATCTAGGTTTGATTCCACTAATTTTCACATTTTGTTTGACCTAACAGCTACTACTGTATAGTCTTTGTATTTACTTATCCTGTGCTTACTTAGTCCTCTGCTGTAATTGGCAAGTATACAAAATTGTAAAACTTAATTTTGTTGTTGCAGTCTGATAATATATTGTAGAAATAATTATGATTGAAATGGAGTTTAACAACTGGAAAGGTCAATAAGTCTAGCATTTTTTCTCTTTAGGAAATCAATGTACATCATCTGTCTAGAATAATCTTTCCCCAGCTTTTTGCATGGCTGCTTTATTTTCATTTTGAGGATTTGGCTAAAATGTTTCCTCTTTTCAGACCAAGTGGACCCTCTTGTTAATATTTATGAGAGCACCTTATTTGTTTGTCTTAGCACTTAGATACTGTTAATTTATTGATTTATTAATCTCCCCCACTAGATTTTAAACTGAGAGCAGGGTCTGTAACTGTTTCACTTTCACTGTTTCCATTACTTTGCACAGAGACTAGGTATCTAATTTTTATTAAAGATACAAATAAGGGAACAGAAGCTACTGTTTATTCAGAGCCTTTTATGTTCCTAGTCCTTTGCCTATCTGCTAAAAGCAATGTCTAGTGTATATATATATAAGATGCTCAGTAAATATTTGTTAAATGAATAAAGCCAAAGTTATCTTCCTGAATACTGGTATATGAGCTCTAATATAATCAACACTCTTTAGTAGATTAGAATTATTAAAGTTTTATGCTTTTGTAAAAGGTGAAGAAACTGAGGGCCCCTCCAATTAAGTAATGTGCTGAACCTTACATAGGTTTGTTGCGGGGATTTTTCTCTGGGCTTTTTTGTTTCATTTACTTTTCAACTACAAAGCCTGTGTTTTTTCTTGCTCTTTATTTCCAGTCTGACTACTGCAACTACTTTATTTTGAAAGGATTTAAACTCATCCTCGATTTCTTCACACATAATGAGCCATTTGATAAGATGATTTTTAAAGTCTGATTTTGAAGTTACATGGTTTTGTGATTATATCTTCTAAGCAGCTCAAGAATATTAAAGGAATTTGTAGTTTATCGAGGAAATTTTTTGCTTCCTCATAAATCATGCTCTTTGAAAAAAACACTTTTCATTTGTTGTTTTTTCTACAAGTATATGTTCTTAAGTGTATGTGTGTAGTGTGTATATTTCTGTAGGAGGGGGAAAACCAAAAGGGTGAAAATATTATATATCAGACAGAATAGATAAGGAAAAAAGTATGAAGCCGTTAAAATATTGTCCTATTTTCCAGTCACTAGAAGTCCTGCGGTTGTTTGAAACTGCCATCCTGTAAAACTTTTTTGCATTGTTGCATATGTTCAAAATATATTTCCATGTTTTAGTGAAGAAGAATGCAAAGTAGTTCACAGAAGGCCAAACTATAGACTGCCAATAATTTCTAGTAAAAGTAAAGGTGTTACTAAAATAATCAAATATAGATGATTTCCTCAGAGAAAATAGGAGTTGGCAGATATTTAAGAGTGACATTGGAGACAGGTGGTAGGTTTGGACAGGATTTTTTGTAGGAAGGATGATGCTGGATGGGTGCTGCTCAAAGGCATTGAGTTAATTCTAGGAAGTTTAACAGAAAACATTTAGCAAAGAGAAGAGGTTTTGCTATACTGACTGCAGTGATTGGACTAATACGTCTTTATGATAGAATTAGCCTAGAGTACAGAAACAAGATAGCAATAGAATTGTTAAGCATTTCAGGGTCTTTAATGCTGAAACTAGTAAAACAGTCACAAAATCATTAGAGCAAATTTTATGGACTCCTAGGAATTAAGAGAAATTGGAAAATGAGCCGTAATTTTAATTCTAAAAGCAGCCTTAACCTACAACAAGAGTTTAGGACTAAGAAAAATGTTGGTCTTAAATAATGTATCAGTGTTTTAAAAGTTCTTTCAATTTGGTAAACATTTATTGAGCCCTTATCATGTACCAGGTATTTTAACGGATGACATGTGGTACATAAAGTATCTTCTAGTTTCTTAAGCTTTTCTCACTTTGTTTAACTTATATAAAGTAATGTTTACTGTTTAATAAAGAGTTTATTTTATTAGAAAGTGCTTCTCTGTGATCTCTCATTGATGCCCTTGTTGCTACATTAACCATTGTTATCTTTTGGTGTTTAAATTGTAGATAAGATCCTAACCTTTGGATTAGAGCAATACTGCCAAAAGAATGGTGATCCTTGGTAAATAGTTTGGCAGTTTCAGAGGGGAAAAATGCACGACACGTGTTTTTTTTTACATCCCAAACATGTATTTTGCCAATATGCACATAATTCACATTTTGCAAATTTTAAATATAAGATGATTTTTCTAAAAATGAATTAGGTTAATAATGTTATGTTTTTAGTGTATAATCATTAGATGCATATGTACACGACAAGGACTATGACGGTCAGTTTACTTCAGCCAACGTGAAGTTAACGTGTTATTCATCTTCAGTAATGGACTTTCCTATTAATTTTAATGTTGGTTCAATTTGTGTTTTATGGTTGATGCTCATTTCTTTTATCCCCAGTTCACAAAAATGACTCACTGAAAAACGATGAAAATAGTAACAAATACTACCATTAATTAAATACCATAATGTAAATAGCAGGAAGAACTTCAGTGTGAATGCAGAAT